CCCCGTCTTCTCTAATGTCTCCTTTGTATATTTGTAAGACTGTTACTTCTCGCTTCAGTTTCCTTTCCCATGGCTAATCAGGTCCCAGATCTTTTAATCTTTTCTTACAGGTCAGGTTCTGTTTTCTCCTGAAATCTCTCATTTTTATGCCTCACATTTTAAAAATAATAATTCTACATCAAACAACACTTGATTAGAATTTTAAAGGGTGAATGTAAGAAATCACTGTGCTTGTGATAGCACATACAGAACTCCCTTTCACAGTAATCCCTTTTCTCTTATAGTTATGAAAAATGTTACCCATATTGCTCCATTTGTGTGACATTGACCTCTGAACTGTATGTACTAAGCAGAACTTGAGTTCCACAATACTTAATTTTTACTAGCATCTCCTGGGAAACTCACCAATTAGATCTCTTGACAACAGCTCCAGTGCTGAGTACTCCAACTGCCCCATCAGAATTGGGGAGAACAGATATGTGTCTATAGTCTTGCTGAGTGTCTGGATCTGTCAGTACTCATGTAAAGGTTATTCCCAATCCAGATGCAGGCCAGTGTGTGCCATTTGAGTAGCAAAGTATTTCAAAATATGTGTCTGCATAGCCAGAAGGCATGGCAGAATCTGTTTCAAGCCTCAGTCCTGCAAGGACACAGTTCAGAGATTTTATCTTCCATTCTTTCAGTTTCTTTATTATACAGTTGCAGTCCAATTTTGGGCTAGTGTTAGCTGTGATGAAACCAGCAAGCTTTAGCAATAATAAACATGTAGGCTGTTGGAGTTTCTTTTGCCTCTTAAGAAAGCTCATTCAGAAAATCTTTTATTGACACAAGCGTGTGAGTAGAAGGTGCAGCATGTAGGTGAACAAGTCACCTCAACTTGTGTTTGAATGAGCTTCAGGATTTAATTTCAGGAGTGAACGAAGTGAGGGTGTGGTATGTCTCTTTTTTCTCTCTCTCTTTTTATCTTTTTTTTTTTGTTTTTTTTTTAATTAAAGTGATTGAAGGACTGCTGCTGTATTTAAACAAACAAAAAAAAAGCATGAGGGATGAGCATCTTAAGTTACTTTTTCATATCCTAATAGTTAAATCTGTGCAAACCCGTTTAGGTACACAAAATTTTTTTTTGCATGCAGAGTAGTATTCAATCTGTGTATGGTGCAGGAGACACCAGCAATGTTTCTCTAATATTTAATCAGTGTGTGACAGCAAGTAATCATTTGTTTTTTGAACCTGTGGATATTTGCCTCAGTGGTAAATGAGGGAACTAATACCACAACTGAACACTGATTTCTTTCTGCTTTTCTGATTTTCTTTTATTAGACAGAACTGTGTGTTTTATACCATCAAAGACTTTCATACTCAAAAGTAACTATACAAACACATGTTCCCATCACATAAATTGTAGAAATTTATAAAAGTAAATACAGTTTCTAGCTATTGTTGTCTTCTTCTCTAAGTAGTATCTTGCAAGTTAAAAATGGTGGTAGCATCAGCTTCTTGGAGTGATATTAATTGTTTTTTTTTGACTATAAATCTGGGAACAAAATGATTAAATAGACTGGAGAAGAGGGGGAAAACTCAAATAAAAAGGTACTTACATTTACTGCATTTTGCAGGGTTGTTTTGGGGAACAGCATATGTCTCTTGAGACTTTGTTTCTTATCCATTTTATAGAGCTCTGGCCTTTTAACAGCACTGCTTTAATGGCTTGTTCTTGGGGTTCTGAGTTGGTATCAGTGCTTGTCATGAAAACAAGCCTGTTACAAAGAGGTCAGGTTTCATGAGACAGCAACAGACTTGTAAAAACAGATTTTACTGGAACAAATAAAGTCAGAATTAAGAAGAAACCAGAGATTTGCATAAAGAAACAAGATACAGAAGGAGCAAATACTGAGCTAAACTGATGAACAATGTATAAATTTAGAGGAGGGGTAAGTGGGGATTTTTTATTTCTAAAACCACATTTTGTGACATTGAGTTTTTCTGAAGATTTTATGCAGTTCTCCATAGTTCTAACTTTTGCTATCTTTAAAGTTTAATTTTCTGAGGAAATATGTTGTTCCTGCTCAGGTGGAAAAATTTTATTTTAAATATCAGCTTCAATTAACAACTTGCATTGGATTTTCTAAATAGTATAGCTGAATCTGGTCATGCTTGCTATTATGTTGACATTTTGTGTTCTGTGAAATACTAATTTTCTTCAGTTTCTTTTGTAGTTCTTGAGAATCTCACTTCCTGTCCTCAGTCTTCAGCTGTAACATACCAGATGCATGGAAATAAATAATTCTTTTTAAATACATAAATGAAGACCAAATATTGTTTCTGTTGCCTCACTATTTAAATAATCATACCAATATAAGAAAATTCTGAGTGTGATTTTATACTTCCGATGGAGAAAAGATACAATGGTCCTATAGAGAAAGGATGCATCTTTTAAAGGTGTATCTTTTCTTTGATAAGACTATCATTACCTTTCTGCCTTCTTAAAATGGTCCTTTCTTATGCTACTGGCTGTGTGGTGCAGCTGTGCTACATGGTGTCTCTAAAACTCATGTTAATTTGTGGTGTTCTTATTATCTATGCCTTTATTACATTTCTAGAGATTTTATTTTGAAAGCCAAGCAGAATTGCCTGTTTTTCTACATCATACTTACAGTAAATAAAGGAAGAATACAAAGCAGTACGTTTTCTGTTACAAAATCTGTTAAGAACAGTGCTAGAGGGAAATACTCTGACTCCAGGTTAACACGTTGTCTGTGTAGAGACGAATTAGAATGAGGAAAGAAGAGTGGAAGACAGACAAGCCTGAATGCTTTTTGTTTTGGTTTGGTTTTTTCTTCCCCCTCCTTTCTCTTCTGTGGTGGAAAACTACAGGAGAGTCAAACTGCATCAATTTCAGCAGAAAGTGAATCTAGGAAGTTTAGAGTTATGGGAACAACCTGGTGTATGTGCAGGTTATTTGACTTACACTGAGACTCTGTTCTGTGAAGCTGAACTTCTGTAGGTAGGCAAAGAACTATTTAAGTCGTCTTTTTCTTCTGATGATTCCTTAGCATTCAAAAGAAAATCTGTTTAAGGAGAGAACTGTTTTCATGTTTCCTCCCGAGAGACTTTAAATGTAAGACTTCTGTTGTAACATCTTTATACAAGTTGTGGGGTTTTTTTTTTTGTTGGTTCTTGAACCTGGTGCTGTTCAAACGTGAAAGAACGAACAAAAAGTGGAACACAGGCAAATGGTTCAAATTCTACTGGTGAGAGAGGCTAGTTCTGTCTGCGGTGAAGGTGGATAGGGTACAAGACTGCAGAGTGTGCTGAGGCTGTGAGGACCTGCTGCCAAGAGCACGGGACTGGTCTAAAAAATGGATACCAGGAGCATCTGTGCTTGCGTACTGGGAGTCTGAATCACATTTGAGGTGCCAGAGCTCGTTTCCAACAGCCACTGTGTTTGCATCATGTGGCTGCAACTGCGTTCAGGTGATTTTGCTGTACAAGGCAGTTTGGTTGTCCTGTTAATCAAAATCTTTGGGAGGTCTGTTCACAAAGCTGCAACACTTGTGCTCTGCTGATATGATTAGGGACGCTCATTCCAGCAGTGCTGATGGTGCTACAGGAATGCAGTGCTAAAAAAAGGATTTATTCTGACCTGGGAAATTAAATAGATATGCTAGTCATAGGAATCTTTAACTCATGTAGTTAGGCCCATGTTAGGAGGTCATTTGTGCGTGGCGGGGAAAGCAACCAGGTGATGTCACATTTCCTTCACATGCCAGTATTAATCTATTGATGATAAGCAGTAGTATTAAAATGACAGGATAGAGGAGCATTTGTTAGAATGCTTGGTGTGCGTCAGTACTGTATGTGTCCCCTATGCAGAAGGACATTATTGAGAACATGTTAGAGTATATAGGATGAAAAACCATTTCAATTAATAAACAAGTAAAATAGAGGAATTCTTTCAAGATAAAACTTGAATGTTAAGAGATGGGTAACTTAATAATATTGGTGTATCTATTGAAATCATGTTTCTGTATAATTTATACAAGAGTAGAAATTTATTTGAAATCTGTGATTTTCTTAAAAACAAATCAGTACCATTGAGTTTATGCAGAGATTGTTCCCTCTGCAGTTACAGTGGTGGAAATGTATGTGAAATTATGTGTTGCGAGTTACCTAAAAGGAGTTGCCTCTCAACAGTTATTTCTGTTAATTACACTGTAAGTAGCAGTAAATAAGCAATTAATTAGAGGGTTTTGTATTCCTTTCCCTTTGACTTCTATTTTCTGAGCAAAGAAATCCAACTACTGATCAATTTCTTAGGTGCCTGTTGGATGGAAGGCATTTATTGACCTGCCACTTAAGTTGGCTCAATTTTGTGAACTCCTCAAGTTGTAAATGGTCAAAATTATATTGTTCTGTGGATCAGGCAACCACTTGGTGACTGCTCAGACTGTTGGGATGAAAGTGTTCTTACATGATTAAACTTCTTTTGAGATCTTTTTTGGTTCTGATTTCTTTTTCTTACCAAACATAAACTTGTACAACTCTGCAGATGCTTTTACTAAAGTGAGTATTATTAAAGGACTAACCTATGACTGTCAGGAACCGACTGTTTTGGAAATTTTCTATTGCAATCAGATTTTTTTTTTTTGAAGTGTAGTGGGGCCAGTCCCAAACTAGCTGAATAGACATGAACTTCATTTCCAACTGCATGCCAGTTAATTTGTATACTTAATTCTATTTGGGTGTAATTTTCATAGAAACATTTTTTTACCAAATTAGGTTAAAGCAAAGTTATTTTAAGTAAACGTTCAACCAATAAAACCACACTATCAAGCAAAGCTGACAAGGTAATTAGTCCTCTCTGTCTTTGCATGTAGAAAAGATGGCTATTTGAAGTATTTCTGGGTATTTCAGCAAGATGATCTATGATCTGGAGTTTGGTTTAGCCAGGAACTTTTCCTTGATTTAGTCCTTTAAATTCAGTGTTCTTTTATTTTTAGCCCTTTCTGCATTTGAAGTCCAGCCACTTTCAACTGAGGTCCAAGAAGGTGGAGTAGCTCGTTTTGCCTGTAAAATAACAGCAAACCCTCCTGCCACTGTGACATGGGAAGTGAATCGAACAACTTTACCTTTAATCATGGACAGGTATGTAGAGTTGTGCATTTTAGAGTCTCATATATTTTCTCTGATAATTTTGAGCCTGTTAAAAGAAGAAAATCTGAATAATTGCAATGCTATTACATAAAAAAAGGTTCCATGTGTATATAGTATGTCAAGTATTAAAATAGCTAGTAATAGGTATTTTGTTAATGAATTTTAAATAGATGTTATGAGTGCAGACCAGAATCACCTGCTATTGTCTACACAGTAATCATTGACCTATGAATTGTTGGTGGATTTTGTGTGCGAGCCATCCTCAGGAATGGGAATTGTTATGGGATACAAAATAGGTGGTTGTGGGCTGTGGGGGATGGTTTGAACTAGTGGGATTGCTTTTGCAGAAGAATTGATGCTGAATCTGTTTTTCTTTAGAGGACCAATAAAGAATTATATGTACAGTAAATTGAATAAAATCACTTCATGCTAGGGAAATTCTGCACAGGGGGACTTCTCTTGAATTAACTCGAAGCATACAGCCTGTTCCCTGCTAGATTCCTTTCCTGTTCAGCTTTTATTCACTGAACCTACTCCCATCCTTCTCGACATGTAACTTTTGTTGTACATGTCTAAGATACCTAGCATGCAAAGGAAGGTGGGAAGACAAACATAAAAATTGAAAGCATAGGTGGGTTTCTGGGAACTGTATACCTGTTACGCCAGTATATCAGAAACTGTTGCCAAAAATCAGCCAACCTGAATAGTATGAATGTAGTAACTGGCTAAAAAAGGTTGGAATGGTTGCTCTTGAGGGTGAGAAAGATCTGCTTGTTGAAAGTAAATTCCTCTGCTTTCATCATGGTACTGGTGGGAATCTTGCCTGTAGTTCAGAAATACAGGGAGGTGAGTCATGTATGGAGAATGTTTTTGAGTCACCAGCCTGATGCTCCCAGGTCAGTGTAGCGATGGCTGTTTGTAAATCAAGTAGTCTTATTCCATGATGGCATTCACTGGCTGAACGCTTATCTACATTTCTTTTTGTCGTTTCTGTGGCAGGATAACTGCTCTACCTACAGGAGTTCTTCAAATCTATGGCGTTGAACAGAAGGATGCTGGGAATTATCGATGTGTTGCCACAACAGTAGTCAGTAGACGTAAAAGCACTGAGGCAGTCCTGAGTGTTATTCCAGGTACTCACCATGTCAGATTTTTTTAATGGCATTATAGTATTTTTTTACATTATAGCAAAAACACATGCATTGAAGAGCTGTTGCTGTCATCTGAACCACTTGCCCAAATAATAATTTTGCTTGATTCTATCTTGCAGCTAAAATACTGTTCTGTGTAAGGTTCCACAATTACTGAAATAAGGCTTTGGTGTAACTTTAAGCATCCTTTAAAAAAAGTCATGTTTTATTGCATATTTAATTTGAGGGTTTTTTTAATTGTTCTTACTTTCTTTGATTTTATTTTTTTAAATTTTATTCCCCTCCAAAGCCTCAGACTTGAAGCCTTTTTACAAGCCATCTATAATAGCTGGTCCTCAAAACATTACGGCATCTCTTCATCAAACGGTCATACTGGAGTGTGTAGCCACAGGGAATCCGAAGCCAATCATTTCATGGAGCCGGTTAGGTAGGTCTTAAAATTACAGCATATGACCTTCAGTCTGTGGAGAGGAAGTGAAACTGGAAAGAAAGGATTTCAGCAATTAAGTTACTGGTCTGAGGCTTCTTGTAGTCCATAATAACGAGTAGGTTATGGTAGGATAAGTGAAATGCTTTTGGTTGCGTACTTCCATACTGCTGTTAAGCCCTGAGTTGGACTCCCCACTTCTGCTGTCAATCCTGCACTGCCACCAGTGCAGTGTGGGCAAAGGGATGGGTAGGGTGGTGGCCCCCAGTGATTTGTGACTTGCAGTAGAATCAATGGCAGGTTGGAGTGGTTGCATCCTATAAAGCAGTCCTGTTAATATTTCTCTTCCTCCTCTTCTTAGAAGCACTGTGTGAATGTGATTTGGACCTTGTGTTACTGGGCCATTTGAACTATGGATAAGTATAGTCAAACCCTGAGTAGTCTGCCTGGAAGGGGAGAAGAGAGGGAATGCAATAAGAATAACAACGTTCGTCAGTGCATCACATTTTTCTGTGAAAACTGCCTCCGTTTTTATTCTGACATGTACCTAAATGTGAAAGTCAGGACTGTATCTGTAGAAGCAAATAATTTAAAGTTTTCCTACATTTTTATTTCTAAAAGTGGGAGAAATAAACACATCTTTCCGGGTTGATTCAGTGGCGCATATAGACAAACAAGTAAAAAAAAGGTCATAGAGCATTTGCTGTGACAGTAGAAGAAAATATATGGTAATCAAATAGACTAATTTTATGCCCAGCATAATTCAGAAGGAGATAGATGATCTCTGTAATGATGTTGGTTGTGATGAACTGAATCATAGTGCAAGGCAATTGGGGAGACTAACTGGGAAAATGACATTAGTTTTAAGTTTTTTTAGTTGTGATAGTGAATTTCAGATATAAACCACTTAGCAAGTGGTGAGACCCAGCCATCTGAATGGTCAAATAACTAGAGTGAAGAATGACGCAAATGCAAAATGGAAACCTCTGAAAACTCATCTGTAATTTTCCTTTGTTTCTTTTGACTTTTAAACTCTAATCTATGCCATTACTGCCTAGGCAACTCTATTTAGATAAGTTATTTAGATATATTGAACAGCTTCGTAACCACACTTCTGCTCTCTCAAATAGACCATAAGTCCATTGATGTCTTCAATACCCGTGTCCTTGGAAATGGGAACCTCATGATCTCTGACGTAAAGGTGCAGCATGGAGGCGTGTATGTCTGTCGAGCCACTATTCCAGGCACACGAAACTTCACAGTAGCAATGGCAACTCTCACTGTGCTGGGTGAGCCTGCTTTGACTTCTCAGTGTGTTTTAATATCTTGTGTCTGTTTTGAGCTATGCTATGTATTGGGCTGAATTCATATCTCAAACACAGGGCACTGAGGGCTATAGGGAGACTGTAGAGATGAAACAGATCACAGAACTGTGGCTGCCTTCTTCTGTCTGTTGACTTAGATGAGAAGTGTCAGATAGTCAACATTTGAGTTACAAACTAGCAGTTCATTTGCACTTGAAGATACCCAGGTGCAATGTTTGCTCTGGGAACACAGGCTTTCAACACAGAAAAGAATCCCATAACAAAGTATGTAATGTATATGTATGCTTTGTGAGCAGTATGTCATGGGCTGGAGTTTGATTTGTTTGTATTCATAAATGCATGAACAAAAAGGTGTAGAAATGTTGCTATCTGTGCAGACAGTCTGTATCTTTAAACACATGTGCTTTGTTTATGTGGAATGTGCTTTCTGCATGGGTATATGTGTATTTGAGTGGCTTGAGGAGAGGGGTTTGTGTGTGGAAAATTCATTATTACTCTGACTGTCCTTGCATTTGTGGGGGCTTGATATTTTTTTTTTTCCCCCCTTCTTTCTTTTGTAGCCCCACCTTCATTTGTGGAATGGCCGGAAAGTTTAACAAGGCCTAGAGCTGGTACTGCTCGTTTTGCTTGTCAGGCAGAAGGAAATCCTGCTCCCAAAATTTCATGGTTAAAAAATGGAAGGAGAATACACTCCAATGGTAGAATAAAAATGTACAACAGGTAAGATTACGATTGCTTTATGAGAGCTGTGCTAGTGATGTGCTACCAAAGGATGAAATTCCAGTAACTAAATATAGCCAAGGAAGTTATAACTCAAGTAAATATGGAATTTAACATTAAACATAGTTATGGACATTTACTTGGCAGAAGGAATGCAGATTAATCAATACCTAGAATCCTCAGCAAAGCTTTTTTGATCGCTGCCTTACCTGTAGGAAACTGAAGAGTTTTCACCACAGAGTTGCTCTAGATTTACACTAGTATAGCAGAGACCAGAATCTTGCTTGTTTTTTTGAGGCTCCATTTTCACTACTTCTGTGGAGTGAGCAGCTCATATTAAAGAGTTGGCTAAGAAATGACAACACTATGATTCTGCTTTTTCCAGGTGGGGAATAGATTTATGGGTTTGTTTTCACTGTGCCTGGCTTTGCAGGCATAAACATTAAACATGACATGTTTTGAGGAGCACTTCAAGTTGCTAAATTTCACAGCTGCACATCCATTTCTCCTAGAAGAGTTTGTGACACAAGTCAATTATACTAAACTCGTGAAGCAGAGGTAAACATAACTTGCTACATTACTTAGCTCTAAGTTTATCCAAGATGTGAGCTTTTTTTCCCCCTTTTTCTTCCTTTTGGATTCAGTAAATTGGTGATTAACCAGATCATTCCTGAAGACGATGCCATTTATCAGTGCATGGCTGAGAATAGCCAGGGCTCTATTCTCTCCAGGGCCAGGCTTACTGTAGTTATGTCAGAAGACAGACCCAGTGCACCTTACAATGTCCACGCTGAAACGATGTCAAGCTCAGCAATCCTGCTAGCATGGGAGAGGCCACTGTATAATTCAGACAAAGTAATTGCATACTCCGTGCATTACATGAAAGCAGAAGGTAAGCAGTTTGATTTAAATACTATTTAACTACTTGTATGTGGTAAGAACTTGAATGTCCTTTCAAAGACTGTCAAATTTGAATGGTTCATAACCAGGGCTGCATCAGAGCATACCAGCATATATCAACAGGCATGCTTGGGAAAAGCAACACATCATCTCTTTTGTGGGACTGAGTGTTCTTCCCGCTCGCCCTTGTCTGATTGTTCCGGTAAGCAGAATTTGAAGTTAGGAATGGGCTTTAAAACCTGGGCCCTCCATACTGCTGTCTGGGTTTCCGTCTGTCCCCCAGCAGGAGCTTCTGCTTCCTCTTGTCTCTGTGTGTGCTTTGCAGGGAAGGACAGAGCATACAACAGGATCCTGGAGTCTTACAGAGTTGTCCTTTTCACCAGAGACAGTACTTTTTCCTAGGTCCCCAGATTCTTGTGACTTGACTGTTTTTTATATATTTTGGAATAGAATAATTGATACTTTATTGGCTTAACTATATTTTCTTTTAAATGAGTATTGGCTGAATGGTAAAATGTGTTCTCCTTTCACCTGTTGGTCTTTCATAATGAGAAAGGTATACTCAAACTCTAAAATATGCTGAAATAGCCATTAACAGTTTATCCTAGTCTCTAAAATGATATATAAATTCCTACATAAAAGGGAATGGATAACCAGAATAAAAATGAGTGAGTAGACATTTTAAAATCCCATGGTATTATGTAATTGCTTCAAGTTAAGGTAGTCTTGAAGGTGGTAGAAAAGAGGTATTTTGCATAATCAGAAGTGATTGCCAAATGACTTGAAGATTTGTTAGGTGCATGGCTTAAACTAAGCTGTGATGCAGCTCTGTTTTCTAGGAGTGATTTCTTTTTCCACTTCTATTCAGTAAGTGGTTTATTCAAGGACGGGACTGCAGATGCTCAGCTCTGTGTGGAATACCATTCTGCCATCTGCTAAGCAGAGAACAGGAAGGACAACTTAATTACTCTAATACTAATGCAGGAATAGCTGCCTTTGCTTTTGCAAGTGGGATATTTTGGGACACAAGAGAATTTTGTCTGAAGGAAGGAAAGAGTTTTAAAAGATAATGAGGACAAGAGTTGCGGGAAACTACCCCATACACTTTCAGTCACTGAGGTATTGTGCTCACAAACAGCTCTTAAAGCTAATATGAATAAAGTCACACTAAATAAGTTGTCTGGGTAATTGTATTTCTGATGCCAATAAGATGAGCAGAGACCAGGTAACTTCAGAGAAAACTGTCCTTAAGGAAGTGTGTATGTGTGCAGGAAATAGTCTTGCCACAATAGTGAAAGGACATATCTTCTAAAATGTGTTTTATGCAAAATTGTTTTGTAATCCCTGCTTTGTTTGCTTGCTTATCCAAAGGTTATGTCTTGTGAAATGAGATAGTAGCTTTGTCTTGGTTTAAAAACGAAAACAAACTCCAAACAGAAGGAACCAACAAACCAAAAAACTCTGATTTATTTGAACTTGCTTTTTCACATACTCATTTTTTTATGTTTCCAGACTGTCTTGTGATATTTACTTTAATATAATGCTGTTGTGCATCTTCTTGCATTAGTAAAGAAATCTACACAGGAGATTGGAGAGGACTGTGCTAAGCGAAGTAATTATAGTGGTGGGAATCAAAATGTGGGTGATCTGCATGTAGTTTTTCTTTGGTAACATGATTGTGTAGATCTGCATCAGGACATAAAACCACTTTTGTCTCATTTTGTAGAAAAAATGTTGACCTTCAAAGGCTAGCAGACTGCACTTCTGTTAAAATAATTGCTTTCTAAGTGATAGTCTGTAAACCTTTCTCAGGATGTTGCCCACATATCAAAGGCATTATTAAAAACCTAGAAAATGCCATTGTGATAAAGTATCACATCAGCTATCTCTTTCATATAAATTTAGAAGCAACTATATTTAAAGAAATGCAAATTAAATATTAAGGAAAAACTTTTGATGACATTCAGACCATGCCAGGCCACAGAGGTGCTAACATAGACTGTTGACATTGTCAACACCTTATTTACTCTCTAAGAATTCTGGATTGTTATGTATTAATATAAATAGTTTGTATGAATGGATTACTTTCATTATTCCTTTCAGCCTGTCTTTCCCCAGTCCTCCTTTATACCCTGTTTCAGACCCTAGTGAAAATTAAAAATGATCTCAGATGTATCTGACTGAAGTAGAGTATATCTTACTTGCTTAAAGTTTCTCATGTGTAACTTTTTCCTTTGTACATCTGTGTTCATATATTGCTCTCTTGTTTTAGTTAGGAACCACATTTGTCAGTGTGAGTGAAGAACATTTTATTGCAAATGAAAAGCAGTGCTTGCTGTCTCCTAAGTTGTACTGATGCTTATGATTCCATAAACTTTAAACAGAAAGGGCAATTGTATAGTACACTATTTTGTAGAGTTTTTTCTGTAGACTTCACAATGTGGTAGGTGTTTGAATACAAAAGATACCATCACTCATTGTTTAATTTCACAACTTGAGTATTCTGATGTTTCAGTGTAAAAACAGATTCAGGTCCTTTTCCCTATTAAGAAAAAAAAAAGTTAGTGTTTTAATCAAGTTAGTTGAAGAAACTAACAGGTGTTTTTTTGTGTTTTTGTTTTTTGTTTCTTTAAGCAGAATATTTTACATTCAAATCAGGGTCATAGTAGCAAGAGGAATAAGGGTCTGATGAGCGTGCATGTTGGAGTGTGTTAATTCCTTGTTAGTGATTTAGAAAAGGCACAAAGGGAACACTGATTGTGGTGGAAGGCAAGCCTTGTTCTCTATTATGGCTGTTTCATTAGGGCCTCTGCATGAGGCCTAGCAATCCATTCAATGAGAGAACAAGTCCTTTTAATTTGAGCTCAAGGATCTTGTTTAGTAGGTCAGAAATCGTGCCTTGCAATTCCTAATTAACAAGCCATTAACTAGTCTGTTGTAAGATGCTCGTAATCTTGTCTAATTAAAATGCTATCAAGTTAATTCATAAATGTGGGAAAACTTAATGGTGGAATTTGCCTTTCGTTTTGTTCATAAATTCAGTTGTGAAGAGGAGGAGCTGGCTCTCACAAAGTTTTGATTAAGTTGACATGCACTTGGTGCGAATTGTTAGTTAACACAGCAGCTTTCACCACACCTATTCCACTTTATAGCCTTCCTCTATAGGAATAAAGCCCAACAAAGACGAGGACTACTGCATGCGTTGCTATGCATATTTTAATGTGATTGCTAAGAAATTTTCTTTTTTAACAACTCACTAAGGAGCCAAACATTTTCGAAGCTCGTTCTGGTCTTTCTTGGCGTTTCTCCAAATTAAAGAAAAAAATGTGTCAGTCAAATATAATAGAATTCACAGGGCTAAAATGAGATCCTTTTGCTGAATAAATTCTTCCTGTTTGTTTCTTTTCTGGGGGGGTGTTTGTTTTGTTTTTGATGGAGTGGAGTCCTTGCATTCCTTGCAGTCTGCTATAGAATGGCTCTCTAAATAGGTTTTGAAAAAAACCTCCCTGACTCTAAACAAATAGATTTAGAAGCTTGGTATAAATGATAAGGCTATTAGAGCTCGTCTGTTGTGTTACTGTACATTGGGCAACGTTTGTTGTGACTAATTCTAAATAGGGTTTAGAATTGCATTCAGCATCCCTTATTCAGGAAAATCCTGAAACACCATAATCTACACCACAGCAAGACACAGTTACTCCTGTGCATAAAAGAGCTTTTGCTTAGTAGAACTGAAAAAATAGATGGGCTGGGGAAGAACATGAAACAATTTTGTATGATTTTAAAGCCAAGACACAATGTTTAGGGTTTATCAGGAATTTTTGTTTGTCTAACTCTTGTTTTATACCAGGTTTAAATAATGAAGAGTACCAAGTGGTCATTGGAAATGATACAACCCATTACATTATTGATGATTTGGAACCAGCCAGCAACTACACTTTCTATATTGTAGCTTATATGCCTCTGGGAGCCAGTCAGATGTCAGATCATGTGACTCAGCACACCCTTGAAGATGGTAAGACATATACTACTGATTTAGGTGAACGTTTTTATTTGCACTGAATAGAAACGTTCAATCCAGTGCTAACAGCTCTTGAGGATCCAAAATTTGCCTTGACATCAGTGAGACTTCCGGAGACTGAGCCAACTAATGAAGGGAAAGAGAATAAAATAACATTCTGACAGGGCAACATTGCATATTACAATGTGTCTTTTTCTACGTTGAAAGTTATTTCATTAAATCATGTAACTATTCTAGATCTTCAAGAACTTACCTGAGAATTTGGTGGTAGTCTAGGATTTAGTGTCTGTGACTCTTGGGCATCTGAAACGTGAATCAAACTGCACACCCACTGCATCTTTTCCAAATTTTGGAGGAAAAATTGGAATAAATATTTGCCATGTCAAAAAAATTAATGTTTTTTTGTTTGTGTTTTTTGTCTGTGTGCTTGTTAGTAGAATCAGAATTTCATAAAAGACCCTACTGACTTATTTCTATGCAGTGATTTAACTAATCTGAACATCATGGCAACAACAAACTGTTTAGTATAGTTCATTAGAACTGATTAATAAATTCGGACAGGGTTAAGCTTTGGCAGCATGGAACATTGCCAGTTCCAGTTGTCTGCCTGTCTCTTTGCCAGGAGTCACTAACCTCATTACGTGGTTGGCGGAAGAAAACATGCACTGAGTCTTCAACAGTATAGGTTGTTGTCTAGACTCTTAGTTTAAGCTGCTGCATCTAACCTTGACAGTCAGTTTGTCAGAACAGTAAGGTGGTGATTGCCTTTGATTACTGCTGGCAGCAATAAGAGAAGAAAGTGTTGAGGGCCTTACAGAAAGGAGCTTGCTAAGGCATTACTGCATGCAGAAGGTGAGAAGTATGAGCAGTGTCAATTTATCCTTAAAATAAACAAGAATCTACAAAACATACTGCGTTATTTACTCTTACGTTACTGGCACCTCATCATAGGCTAAGGTGTGACATGAGAATTTCCCATCTCTTTTCCCTAAACTCAAAAGCTTTATCTTTTGCTTTTTAGTTCCCTTGAGAGCTCCTGAAATTAGTTTGACAAGCAGGAGTCCTACAGATATTCTCATCTCTTGGCTGCCAATTCCTGCAAAATACAGGAGAGGTCAGGTGGTCCTGTACCGTCTGTCCTTCCGCCTCAGCACAGAGACCAAAATCCAAGTCTTGGAGCTTCCAGGGACTTCAGATGAGTATCTCCTTGAGGGCCTGAGGCCTGACAGTGTGTACTTGGTTCGTATCACTGCTGCAACAAGGATTGGCTGGGGAGAGGCATCTTTGTGGACTTCCCACCGGACTCCCAAAGCTACAAGTGTGAAAGGTAATTCCTAACGTTACCAGCAGCTTAGAGACGGGGTCAATTGTAGACTGCCTCCGAAGGCTACAATTTTTTTTCTGTCACGTAGTGCAAGGATGTTTTCTCATTACATGCTCTTTTTCTGGTGATCTAGAAAATAGCTTTCTAACCATGATTCTGTGCATAATGTTCAGAAACTTCTGATTATTAAATTAATAATATTTTAAATTTAAGAAATTAACACTTTAAATAATAGTTAATACATAGTTTCAGGATCAAAAGTTGAAGAGGAACTAATCAGTCTTATGAAAGACCTTACATGTGACAGGAGAAGGAAAAGCTGATATATTGTTTTGGTGTCAGTCTTTGATTGTTTCCATATGTTGATGTTCATGTATTTGACATGGTGGCAGGAAACTTGAATTCATGTTTGTGAGCTGCTCACATGTTATAGCTTGTAGACTTGTTTCCAGTGATAACACAGTTTTCTTCTGTTCTGTACAATTTGAATAAAAAACCCCGACAACCCTAAACCCCGTTGTTCAGTGTAAAATACCTTTCTGCAAACTGGGAACTTACACATTAGCAGTGTGTATGGGTACTTAAAGGATCTGAGTTGATGCATGTATGTCTGTTATAAATGAAATGCACCTGTGTTTTGAATATGCAAATTGGCTTGATATTTGAAGTTTTAAGTCTCGAGTGAACTTTGGACTGATGGGCACCCAGATTTTTGCATGAAAATTAGTTGTTTCTAAAATATAAAATATTACATATTTTTCTCTAAAACCAGCACCAAAGTCTCCTGAGCTGCGTTTGGAGCCAATGAACTGTACAACCATTACGGTCCAGTGGCAGCAGGACTCTGAGGACACTGCAACTATTCAAGGATACAAGCTGTATTACAAGGAGGAAGGCCAACAGGAGAATGGACCAATTCTGTTGGATGCCAGTGATCTTGAGTATACTGTCAGTGGTTTAGGTGAGTATATAAAATATTAATTTCTGTGCTCTGGAAGACAGCGAAGTCAAATAATATGTTAGTTTAATTCATTAGACCTATAAGGCAACAACGTTATATTTGGCCATCTATTTTCCCAACAGTAAGCTTTGCAAGCTTGAGTTATGCTGCTGATGGAGTAATCCTCTCCCAAAATATGTGTTGCACAACACTTAGATAACCAGATCTTGTAAATCTTGTGTAAGTTGGAAGAAGGACCCCCAACTATTTATCGCAAGATACAGAACTTATAGTTAGTAAATATTGCCAGTACATTACATGTCTTTTTAATATTCAGTTTAATACACAGTTTTTTCAGCTTTTTTGTATCTGTGCCTGGTCTAGTAACAGTGAAAGATTAATACAAATTACCAAAGATTTTTCTCTGTTTCTAGCCTATTTCTCTGTTACTTGTAGCCTTTTTCACAGTCGTACTATACATTGAGCACTGCTTGCTCACTGTAGTAGCAAGTAGCCTTTGTGCATGTTATTATCCTGTTAATATTTTTAAGGAGTACTGGTAAATATATGCAGGACTAAGCACAAAGATGAGGGCATAGAGCTTGTTGAGTCCCATTGGAGTCTTACCATTCATCACCTGACTCTGTTTCCTCCTGTAGCTCTTGTGATGTGTATTAGTACGGACGTGTTGGTCATCCCTAGGTAGAAGGTGCTTCTGTTTACATATATAACTGAGAATTTATTTCTTTTATGATGTGATCTATAATGTAATCAGCAAAAGTAATGTAGGACTTGATACTTAGTGTTTGAAGGATGTTGAGATAGTTTACCTAGGGGTAGTGTGGAGAATTTATCTTGCCCAAATTATCAAAATTAATCTGCAGTCTTAACTAGGTCACATTGCCTCTTGACCATGCTCAGATATTCTCATCTGCTGCATATAGTTGAGATACTATTTTAGGGGAGATTTGAGGAGAGCATTCTGATCTGTTAAGTGGACAACTGACCATCTGTGACCATTTCTAGCCAGAGCATCTGGCAGCAGCTGACTGTTTAACAGAGCTGTGAGACAAAAGAGCAGTGGGTTGAAAGGATGTGGTGTCTGTGTGTCCTGGGACATAAATGCATTTTTTTTTTTGTCTTCTCATTATGTGGTTACAAAGCAGTAATTTCAGACACATGCAAACTTATTAACTGTGTGATCCACATCATATGGATTTTCTCAGTACACTAATCCTCCTTGGATTAAAATATTATTTTATGGAAATATGTTAGAATGTCTATTATCTGTGTGCTTTTACTGTTTTTTTCTTTCCAGTAAGCATGTAGATTGAGGAGAAAACAAAAGCCAAGTGAGTTTGGGAAATTAAAATTTTCACATGGTCACGCTTTTAACTGAATTACAAGTAGTGTGGGAATGGAAGAATTCCTGTGTTTGAGTTAACCATTCAGTCATAGTGCATGTGATGTACTGAGTGTTTATTCCTTATCATAATTCTAAGTAGTTAAATATGGTGACCAAAACATGATACATCCCATATAATCTGATTGTCATAATTTATATTTTTTTGTGTATGCGTAATTTATTCTGCTATAGGTTAGATCCATTGAAGAGTGGGTTTGTTGGTTTGGTTTTTTTGTTTTGTTTTTTTTTTTTTTTTTACAAATAACTTCAGTAGAAGTAATATTTTTGTTTTTAGTTTTAATGGGATGTATTGAGTTATTTGAAAAAGTATATAAAATATGGGAAGTTTTCATGTGTAAGTTCCTTTGCTGGTTTCTTATTTTTGTTTGCTTTGTAGCGTTTACAGAAAAAGGCATTAATTGCTACAGCTACAAAACTCACTTGGCACAGGAGACTTGAATAGGTCATGAATTTCCACTGCTAAGATGATTAAATATGTTGAAGCTTGGAAAGTTCATGCAGACTTCTCATAGTGACAGTGTCTGTCTGACTACTGTATTTGCCCACTGAGAAGATGCCTGTTTGAAATACTTGCACATGCTAAATTATTTCTTAGTATATAACCAACCTTTTTGTGCCTGTGGAAGCTACACATTTGCAGAATATAGGAGGTAAAATTATATGCAATATATAAACCCACAAAGATTGTAGCAACATCCATGCGTTAAGAAGGGACTGATTTGCTTTTAATTCCTTGTGAATAATCTAAATCATTTGGACCAGGTTATGCTATTTATGTGTTTCAAATTAAAATATTACTTATTGGGAAGTGGTCTTACTTGGTAGAATTTGAGATTAAACAAGGCAAGACACTGCTCTAGGTTTTGTGACTATGGTAAACGGAATCTTCATGAACTGGACAGAGGCTTTGAGAACTAATGTTCTGTCATCCACTTACCTCTCCTGAGGATACTAAACTACTGATTTATTGACAGCCTCTTTAAAATAAGTGTCTTCATTATGAGCTACAGGAATTAGTAGAGTACTGTAAGTGTGAAACCTGAAGGGGAAAGGTGTGTGTTAATATTTTTGGTTTCATATTATGTCTGATAACATGGTCAAAAGAAAAGGTTATTCCACATTTGGAGGAATATGCTAATAGTATTAGGTGCTTCCTGGTGGCAAAGGTGGAGTAGTTTCTCATGTATTATCTGTTGCCACTGAAGTTATGTGGCTTCCAAACACTCCCTCTTCGTGTCTTAGTTTGTCATGACCTAAGGCAACTCTACCATTCCCTGTTTTCTTTCGTAGTTAATAAACTGCAGATAGACTTTAGTGACATTTGGAGCATGTCAATATGTCTCTCCGTGGAACTTTCTGCAGATGTTGGTACAACAGCCAACTGTGCAAAATCTGTGTATTTAAAGACAGCAGTTCACTTACTCTGTGGTAATTGAAGTGCATCACAAGATCAGAATTCATAATATTCTCTAATCAAAGAGAACATTAGCATTGATATTATAAGAACTGTTGATTGCATTGATTGCTGATAGCATTGATATAACTACTGTAAATCATTTACAAATGTCTTCAGGACTCTTGATGGAGGGACAAGTGTGATAGGTAAAGCAGAATCAGCAGTGCTAGTGTAAAATAGATTACAATGATTGAACATTAAATATAGCAACATGAATATTATGCTGTATGTTTTAATTGCTTGTTGGTTCCTGCCTTGGTTTTTGAGAACTGACCTCTCTTACTCCAGTGTAGATCCACCTGGTTACTTCTCTACATTTTTAAACCGGATTATTTAGCATGATAGTCACCGTGTGAATAGAACTAAATGATCTGATCAGAGTCAGAGCTGCCATTCTCAAAATAAATATCCATAGTTTCACACAGACGTTTGTTTGTGTTAAAGGTCTTGGCACTTATTTTTCAATAGCAAGCCATTTCCTAGTCCAGTGTAAAACCCCATTATTACTTGACTTTGCCACAGGAGCAGACCCTTGGGTGCATACCATGCATTTTTGCCTCTATTTTTAATTCTTCCTTTGCTTCCTCCTCTTCTAGAAAGTTTTTCCTAACAGAAAGTCTTTAGTTGTGCGACTTGATGAGTCTGCTGGTATGTGGTCTGTTTCTGTAATATGTGTATTCAGAAGTTGAAGTGAGTCTTGTTGGTGGAAGAGTTTGTTTGGGAACCTTCTCGCTGTGCAGGAGAGAAGGGATTGTCAAAGCTTGGTAGTTAAAACAAAGAGAGTGTCCAGAGAAGCTCATCTCCCCCTTTAAATGTCTTCAAATTATTTTTTTCAAAGAGTATTTTAAGCATGTGCATATGCATCTCTGCCTCAATGTTATTGGTACTCACTACTGTGCTAGGTTTACTGTTTGCTTGTCACAGCTCAGTGTGTTTGTAGCTATATGACTGATAGGAAAATAGAGCCTATACAAGAAGGGCAGTGGCTCAGAACCCATTTTAAGCTTATCTGGTTTATTGGAGCCACGAACTCTTCATAACTAGGTTGTAATGGTGATAGGAATCTCATCCTAGAATTTACATCTAGGTAGAATAAAGTAAAATTCAGCTTCTTGGTTAACAAATTCAAGAAAGCATGATCAATTATGATGCTGTAACACAAGAACACTGTTCTTCAAGATGCTTGGATGTTTCCCTCTTTGAACTTTTTTTATATTTTTCAGTTCTCACCATGCTAGTAATTAATTAAACAAATGACAGTGGTGGTGGTGGGGAATTCAATGTGTTCCTGTGCCATTAATGCCTTCTATGCTTGGAGGGAGAGAGGAAAGCAAGAATTCATGCTGCTGATTCATTCGTCTGGGACTGTCACCTTGAGTGATGATAGTTACAGTGAGGATTTTACAAAGTTGCACTTTGGTGACAGAGCTAACTTAGGGTCTCACTAAATCCATACCAAACCCACAGGTAAGAAGGTTGTGGCAGAGATGTGTGAACCTTAGGTCCCCTTTCGTTTCTGTTGTGTACAAGATGATATCGCAATAAATAACAGTTTTTCAGGCAGACACCTTAGGGGATGGAAAAACTGGTCTGTTAGCTTTGGTGCAAATGCCTTGAGCTTGGGATCCCACATACTCTGGCTTTTCCCTGGTGAAGGCCCCTCCCCAGGAGAGCTGGTGGAGTAGAGTGTCTTGTGCTGGGAGCTGCAGCCCGCAGGAGTGCTGCTGGCTCCCCAGGGCTTGGGGCACTTGCAGGCTGCAGGGGACTGGGCAGAAACTGCCAAATAATTTGATGGCTGTGAAATAGAATATATCTGCTTTTTTTAAAAAAAAAAAAAAAAAAAATTGGTGATTGGTCTGAGGCTTGGAGAGACTGCAATATCTCTCTCGGGGAAAGCTGCTTCTATGCTGACTGGGGTCATCTAAGTGGTTGTGATGAGGGACATCACAACCACTTGTTGCTTCTCCTAGTACTCCAGTTTTACATTACCTGGTGGCATTTTCCCCTGCTCTAATCTAATTATTTTGGAATTAGATTCAGTCAGTCTTATATGTGCAATTTACTCCAAGAAGTTCGGACTTGATCAGAAAACCTTTGCTGCCTGAAAGCTCCTCTGCCCTCTTTGACTTGGACAAAATT